GCTGTTGTTAGCTGTTGTTAGCTGTTGTTAGCAGCGCATGCGTCAGACAACATGGATCGGTACACGCCAGACTCGCAGCTGAACTAGCAACGAACGAAGCAGTGTGTGTGGGTCGGCAACCAGGAGACAAACAGACTCCGAGCTTATGTTTTGTATGCTTATAGAAAGATGGGCGCATTTCAACAAATATCTCGCAAGGCACACAGAAGATATGTGTGTGTGTGTGTGTGTGTGTGTGTGTGTGTGTGTGTGTGCGCGCGCGCGTGTGTGCGTGTGTGCGTGCGTGCGTGGGTGCTTGCGTGCGTGGGTGCTTGCGTGCGTGCGTGTGTGCGTGCGTGTGTGCGTGCGTGTGTGCGTGCGCGCGCGCGCGCGCGTGTGTGTGTGTCTGTGCTTCAACTATGGCTTCAGGCGGGCGCCAATGATGTAGAATCCATAACCACTTGCTCCATAGGCAGACGTACGATCAGGAGCAGTGTTTAATACTATTATATATACCATATATAATATATATATATTATATATGCTATATTATACCATAGTTTTTTAGTCAGTAAACATAATAGGCATAATAGGTTATCCACGGGTGCATTTTACATTACTGTGGACACGTGCACACATGTACCATGATTTGTACTCAAAAATTTACAATGCACAAAATTTGATATCCATGTCACAATGACAAATCGCATTTCCAAGACCACAGCCGCCTTGGAGGCACGAAAGCACTACGTACAGATAGGACCCAGTTGGCAGATATCCCGTCACAACTGCCATATATATATACTCGATAACCGTTCTAGTTTGAATACGTTTCGCATTCACGCGCGATTTCGTCTGCGCTTTGCCGCCCGTTATACCGCAGGGATTCTCGTTAAGCCTCGCCTAGCGAACGCTAGCTGTGTCGGTCCCCACAAGCTAGCGGGAGGCGCACCGCGGTGTCATCGGCTGATATTACCACGCGTCGACCCATTCCGATTTACAATTGCTATTTTAGAGCCGAAATGTCGGGCAATCAAACGCGGAATGACCTGCGACCGCAGGCATCGGGGTGACGTAAGGCTTATATTAAACGGCCACTCTGCAAGTCAGGTTTTTAATACTCACGAAATTTCGCCGAATGGTGCGAAGGCCTCTCTGAGTTGGTGCGTTTCAATTTCAGGGCTGAGATCGCCGACGAAAATGTGGAAATGTTCTGAAATAGAAAATGACAAACACATATATATATATATATGCACACATAAAAACTCGCAAACACGCATAGATATCTATTTATATATCTACACGGAATTGCAAGCACTACATCTATATCGCTATAGGTATCCATAAAATGCGCACAAACACCCGCACTCGGTAGTCGCATACAGGCAAGCGCTTACTACCCACAAAAACACTTTAAACCTAACAGCATTTTTTTCACGTTTCAGCAACGCCAAATTTCTAGACAAAAGGGATGTTTTATGCACGTTGAATATCGCTGCAAGACAGTATCACGCGTGGTAAAAGGTTTAGCCCTATGCACCCACTTACTAGAGGCGATAAAATAGAATATGGAAATAGATCGAGAAACCGTATGACATCTGACTAACAGACTGCTCACAGCATGTAATATCGATAAAGTGAGAGCAACGCTAGCATTTTTTTATGTATAACCGGAAAATAACAAACAAAAAAAACCAATTAAATTGGCAGAATAATTGTTTAAAGTTTAACACGGGCAGTTACTGGGAAAATGCAGTGCACCTGAATTACGAGTCTTATCTTACAATGAATGATTACTCGCTATATCCCGCATGAACAACGATGTTCCGCTGAAACGTACATTGCAGCAAAATCAATCATGTTATATAAGCATCGGAATCCGCTAGTTTTAGACGTGGATCACGTTGCTCCACGCCAGCTTATAATTAATAACATGCGGGATGATAGTGCATCGTAGATTGGGGCTAATCGCATGCCACCCACCCGCGAATAGTCACGCAAACAGACGTATGAGCTTCTTTCATACCAAATAAAATATGCAACGGCATATAACGAAAAATATATATTCATAACTAGCCTAGAACCAGAACTATATAAATCTTTGAATTATAATTAGATTTGTCATTATTCATCCACGATATCGGGTGGAAACGCGCCGAGAGGCAATAGAGACATCTGGGCTGCGTTCGCAAAAAGTAACATTATATTTGCCATATACATGTCCGGAATTTCCCCGCGAATGTTACGAAAATATTAGAACGGCGTGCGCTTGTCTTGAAAGCGACCGAGCCCAGAATGTTTTTCGATACATAGATGTATGATCACCAACCATCTCGCGTGAACGCTTGATGAAACCACGCAGCCAACGTACGTAAGCACAAGAGAAACTGATAGGCCTTAGTTAATGGTAGCAAGCAGTTTGAAAACAGAGCCAAATGTATGACATCCCGGTGATTTCCTCCGCACTTGTCAGGCCAATGTGCACACAGTCGATGAAAACAGCGAAAATATAAATCGAGTAAATTCTGGGATAAGATCGAAGCAATGATCAACGGACGTGACTGAGCAATGCAGAAGAATATCACGTACACGCAAGCCGCGGGATCTAGTTATTCGGATGCTAGCTGCAATCGGTGGTATCAGTAACGCTGGTAACACGATCACCAGCACAGATGCGGTGTGAGGCCATGCCGGAACAAAAGGTTGAATGTTATTTCCTCATTATTTATTGTTTGTATACATGCGGTGACTGGTTGGAAGCTGCAGTAGTGGTTATGTTTCTTTTTTATTTCTCCTATGTTTTCTCTCTCTCTCTCTCCCTCTCTCTCTCTCTCTCTCTCTCTCTATATATATATATACACATAATTATATATATATATATCATTTCCATTACAATGTTCAAATATACGAGTTTTCGCGAGGATGGATTTCCGCGTGCATAACTGTAACGCTGGGTGTAGGAAACCCGATGTGCAATGTGAGGAACAACAACAAGAAAAATGCAAACAGAAAAGTTAAAAACTGAAGATGTGGTACATGCATATGTGTATATGATGAAACCGCTACAGAGGTACATGAGATACAATCGACTTCAATCACGTGCAATACAGCATTAAACCTGAACTAAACGCCAGCGCATGACCGATGATACAAAAATTGTCCATGTGCTATGTAACATGCGCACACTTTCAACACAATGCAAACACCAATTTCAAATTAGTGATACAAGGTTATGTGAGTGATTCATGTTAGCAAAGCATTTCTATCTCTCACTAGCAAAGAACTTCATACCGATTAATAAAATTTTTATCACAAAAAAATACAGCAGGGAGTGAGCATTAGATAACGTAATAGAGCGAGATAACAGTCGTTACAGTGACAAATGACACTTCGCGTAACTTCTCGAGCGTGTTACCCCAGGGCAATTTTAATGCTAATTATAAGGATTAGCAAGTTAATGTTATAATGTATTAATGAAGCCATCTTAAAGTACCACGTGAAACGTGAAAGAATCAGGATAGTTTGCACAAGCTACAGATAACGCACGCGTACGTACGCATGTATTCACATGATATCGTGCGTGTTCAATTGTCATCGGGCCACATGTCCATTGTCATAATGCGCACTGTGTCGTTGTCATACGTGCACGTGTCCACTTGTCATGCGGGGCATGTCGGTGCAATGTTCCCCTCGATGTCTAAATGAGGGAAAGGTGGTGAAATATGAACGGGGGAGCAGGGTGGCTAGATGTTTCCTCGATGTCAATGAGGGAAGTGGTGAAATATAAGGGAGCCAGGTTGCGAATGTTTCCCCTCGGGTGTCCAATGAAGAAGGTGTGAAATATGAAGGGGGAGCTGGTGTGGAATGTTTCCTGGATGTCAATGAATGGAAGGTGACGAAATTATAAGGGGGAGCGGGTGCGAAATGTTCCTACGGGTGTCCAATGAGGAAAGGTGGATGAAATAAAGAAGGGGGACGGTGGCGAATGTTTCCTCGGGTGTCAATGAGGGAAGGAGGTGAAATATGAAGAGACTGGTGTGAATGTTTCCTCGGATGTAATGATGGACAGGTGGACGAATATGAAGGGGAGACGGGTGCGAATGTTCCTCGATGTCAATGAGGAAGGTGGTGAAATATGAAGGGGGAAGCGT